ATAATCTGTTTGAACATTTTTAGTCTATTTTTAAGAGTCCTGGCTACCAAGTTATTAAGTTCAATGATTCAATGATTCAATGGAATCAAATATCAGCTGATGCTGCAATACCGCCCTCTGTCAAAGTACTAAATTGAAATGTGTTACCATACAGAGGCATATTCATGATGAAAATAACATCTTGGGATATTTTAAGTGCACACAGTCAAAACTGAGCCTTACAGATTCACTATAGGTACTATGTCAGCCTAACAATGTCAACTTTTGATTCTAAACATTACAAAATATATGCATATTTGTTCATGTCAACTATGTAACCATGTTAGGATCAGTTGTAGAAAGTTAAATTCAAATGATCTGTTTGAATATTACTTATGTAATCTTTAAAGTGTCAGATAACAAATATTATTAGTCATTAATAATGCATAAAGCAAAATGGATCATGAGAATTTCCATAATATCATCTGGGCTGCAATGTCGCACTACATCAATCAACATCTTAAAGAAACTGAACAATAAAATGGAATGCATTCTGTGTTCAACTTACATCATTTTGCTGTTTTCTTACATGCAATGGTAAATATACCTGGGTAAAGTATATTTTACCCCTCTGACCTGTATTTCATTCTCTGACAGCTTAATATGATTTTGTAGAGAACTTGAACAGGTTCTAGTATAAAGTCTTCATCTCTGTCCTCTCACTAAATACCCTATAACTATGGTTATAAACAATTACTGATAGCTATACAAGCAGATATGTGTTACTCAGGAAGTCACCCCATCATAAACACATAAATTAACTGTTTGAACCCCAAATAAATAGTTTTAATGACCTAAAGGTACAAAGCAAAGTAGAATTTTGTCTTCATGTATTTTAAATGAGGGTCTCATTTTGACTAATAAAGATATTTTCTCTGATCAAATTTGACAAATATCCATCATTTGAGCTTGTATATGGTGTAGGAGTATATATATGCTGATATCATTTAATATCATTCCCAAAAAGTATTATATATGTGTATACTTGGTGGAAATTTTTTATTTTTTAATTGTTTTTTTAAATTTCATTTAATTTTTTTAAATTAAAATTATTTTTTACTTCTAATTTCATTTTTATATTTTTAAAGTCAATATACATAACATATTGAAATTTCATGTATATGTCATTAATAATAAAAAATTTATATCAGTTTCAAGTTTTTACTGACAGGCCATAGTACACAATTAATTTTACTATATGGTCTCTACATTTGTTCCTCAGTACTGAACTTTCCACTGTATGACAATCAATACAAATCATATGTTAATCTAAAATACCTTCAAAGATGACTTTACGGTTTAGTTCTTGTCAAGGGTTGACCTGCATTTTTTTGAGAGGCTGAATTGTAAACAAAACACCAGGCAACAGAACACAGATTTCACTTCCGGATCATCACCATGACCTTATTACTCAATGTGCACTGTCGCCGAAATACACACAGACAACCACACCATAAGATCACATTTTAAAGAATAATCAATTGCCTTTAAATCCTTACCAAGAATGCCAAAATCTAACTCTAGTATCACCACCAAATTTAGACCGGAAAAAGTGATCTAAAAATAGACTGGGACTACATTCGTGGGTACTGAACCGGATTTTATTAATTGAGTACTGATTCCTGCTATACAGCACTATAAACTACCACACTGTAGAGATATGACTAAGACTATGAAACTGACGTTAAATATAAAATCTCCAACACACAAAATCAGTTATGTACAAAAATAAACTTTCCCATGCAGATCTGGAGTTGTAGAATTGGCCCTACGTGCCTCTCTACGTGTCGTAAGAGGCGATTAAGTAGAGGCAACCTGTTTGCCGTGGGTTTCGACCCGTGTCTGAGGAGGAAAGGATACTGGTAGTTAAGCGGAGGCTTTCCGATTCAATACATTACTTTGGCCTCTACTTCTTGTAGACGGGTGGTCGGGATGGGCCCGGTCTCGAGAAATCGTTTGGTCACGCCGAACCCTAGGAGGTCTTTAGTTACTCGCTCTCATTTTTAATGTTTCTTCCTGTATCTCTCTTGATACCACCGTTGCCCCTACATTATATGCCTTCAGATGTCCCTATCCCACATCTTAGAAGACTGATGAGAAGGCTGTGACTCAACGAGTCAATCGGGGGTAATTTTGCCTGCTGAGTATGTCTCACGGGAAGAAGATTTTGCCAACTGAGTATAACATCTGCGATTCCCTGGCACTTTAAAAGTGTCCTCTTGTTGGACTCCTTGGTGGGTGGGGAGCACAAATGCTGAACTTTTAAAGACACCATCATGGAATTTTTAAAAAAAATCAGTTAAAACGAAACAAAACAGGATCTGAATCAGATGACGAACCATGTGGTATGGATTAATTTGCAAGATTCATGGTAATACAGTCTAAAGATGCCTCAAAACCGCTTACTTCAATTTCACCGTTCGTTATAGAAAAGACAATAATTGGATTGAATGGGACGCCAAAAAGTGTTAAAAAGTTTAAAACGAGCTGCCTACTTGTTGAACGTGAACGACGAGGTCAAACCGGAAACCTCAAGAAAATATTGACTTTCTTCAATATTGCAGCATCGTCTTTCACCCACACAACTTTGAATATGTATAAAGGTGTAATTTGCTGTCGTATCTTGGCTGGAGTAACCGAAACAGATATCATTGAAGGAATGCAAAATGAAGGTGTCACTGCATCCGCATAATACGTATCAAACGTAACAGCAATCTGCATGACACCAACACCATTATACTCGCCATCAATAAACCAACCGTACCCAGAGTGGTCAAAGTTGGCGTTTTGTAAGTGAAGTTTGACGTATATATTCCAAACCCACTTCGATGCTATAAGTGTCAAAAATATGGACATCATGAAGACCGCTGTTCAAGAAACCAGATATGTGGCCGATGCGGGGATAGCTCTCACTAGGAAGCGAAGTCCAGAGCAACTCCGCATTGTGTCAACTGTGGAAAACAACACCACGCAAATTCCAATGATTGTGATACCTGGAAACAAGAGAAGGAAATTTAGTGGGTTAAATATACATCCAACATTCCCTATACAGAGTCCAGAAAGCTAGTACAGGCAAACATGTATCTTCCCGGCCAATCCTTCTCCACAATAATGAAGACCAATCCTAAGGCATCGAAAGACGTTCAAACGCAGACATTAAGAACACCCCCCCCCATTACCAAGCACAAAAATCCACGGCATCTACCCAAACGACATTCCACAATACTCAACAACTTTAAACACCAAAGAAAAACACATCACAAGGAAATAGACAACAAAAGGGGTTAGATGACCTCATCAAACTCTACAACAGGTTTGGGGACATCGAGAGCATGGATGCAGAACATACTGCTCCGTGTTCTCAAAATAGCTCCATACCTAACAAAAGAATCACAACCGTACTTCCTCGAGATAAATAACCCTGATGATTGTCTCCGCGAACCTAGTCTGGATTTGTTTTGTGATGGGATGGCTAGTTTGGGATAAATGGCCACCTTTCATCATTTGTTAGCGAAACGTGATTTTTTGACAGACAGTAATAACCAAACAGAAAATCTTGCGTTTTATCTGTCAGTGGGATTATATTATGTTTTCGTGTTATTCAGTACAGTTGAGTGTGCATGATAGCTAATATATATTGATTCAGGTAGCCAAAAAAGTAGTTTTCTGTGAGGAGCGTATGTTGAATAATAAATGAAAAGTAGCCAAAGATGGATATTTTTGTGATCCATGAACCGAAATTTCGGCCGTCTTTACAAACAATTTTTAAATAATGAATGAGATCTGACCTTAATTAAACGGGACGTAACTCGTCTATCCTCTGCAACAAACTTTCTTCTTCAGAGATAGTTATAAATCGCAGACAAATAGATGAAAATATCGAACTCTGCCTGAGCCACCGGCATAAAGGGCGCCTGAAAATTTCTAATGTAATAAAGACGAATATCTTTCTCACCATTAAGTAACCATATTTCTTCGATGTTTTACCCTTATGATAAAAAAAGTTCCACGCTTTCCAATTTTACCTTCAACATCTTTGAGCTACTGCATCAAAGTGACTGGAGCGTGGATTAACTTGATATTATTTTATGCATACAATGGTGTCTTCACGATATAAACATTTAGTTTGCATTTAATGAAAAGTCACTGCAGATATACGCCATTGACTGTTTAAGAAAGGAGCAACTATTGCCTGGTTTCGAAATACCTAGCGGCTGATCGCAAAGGGCAGATATCCGTTATATACAGGACATTCAAGCAGGAAATTTGCCAGAAGGAAATTAGAATGGCCGTTGTGAATAACTGACTGCAAATTAAAGGTGACCATTAGAACAGGTTTTACTATGCATATTTTGTGTTTCAGAGAGGTTTATACGTATGCCCCTCTCATCAGAATTACGGTACACAATGGTACTAATTTCTTGAAATTACTAACCATGTTCGCCAACATTTACCCGATTACATCAACAAATATCTAGATTATCATATATTGCGATTCGTAGTTTTATTCGCCATAACTTTCTTAAGGTAGCAACGATCTTCTAATAAATGCTCGTATGACTCCCACACTGCTTGTTTCTGTCCTTTTGGAAACTCTGCTTCCATGGCAGATAGTACTGTGAGTAATGACTTAAATTTAGCTAACGAATGAGTGATTTTAATCTATATTTTTTCACCTGTTTGACTTGCTTCATCTTAAAGCATATAACCTTCCGTCTAATATTATATATTGTCGACTTTTATATTATCTTATAGCTTAGTGTGTGTAAATTTGCTTTCTAACGTAGCTTTAATAATTTGTATTTATATTTCTATGATATCTGCAGAATGACACGTAGCATGATGTCAAGCCCAGTCGAAATATCCTAACACCAGACCGACTAATTCTAACACTAACCTCTTAATGCTGAGCGCTTAGCGAGGCAGCTGTTTGTACCATTCATTTTTAAAAGTCCTCGGTATGAATCGGCCGGGTTTAAAACCCGCGACCTCCCGCATCCGAAGAGGTTGCTCTAACCACTAGGCCACCGGAGCGGATACCTTCTCGCTGAGAAGAAATAGGGTGTCGATGAAAACATCATAATATATACATGGACGTTTAGCAAGGAATATATGAAACAAGAAAATGGTGCGTGATAATACTTCATAAAATGTTTTTTTTTTTTTGGTACCAAACGAAGTAAGAAAGACGTAATGTAATGTATCAGTGGTAGAAGGTATGGCATGTCCACAGTATTTACATAAGTGAAAAAATACCGGTTAATCCTACGTTGCCACATTCTTTGTATTAATGATATATTTTGGTTCACAGTCTTTTACTTATCATTCATTTGGCTTGCCATCTACTTGGAGACATTTAAAATCTCTGAATATAAGTGTAAATTGTTTGTTTCTTGTAATAATTATAATTTATTATTCCAGTGTACCAGTATAACATAACATTGTAATCAATTTTTTTTTTGAAACTTGTATAACGAAATAGAATCCAAACGTTTAGAACTTGGTATAATGTGCTGATTTTTATGTATTTCTATGCATTATTTCTATTTATTGATTATACGGATACTTTGTACTTGATGCTTCTTTCTCTTTCAATAAATTTGCAGATGGTTGTCTTAGAAGGTTTTGAAAGTTTATTTCAGCAGTAACCAAATTTCTTGCAGATTGTATTCCTAGATATATAAATAGAACGTGGGAATACATTTTGCAGTTCTACGTTGTTCACCATTATATTTGTTTATATACCTAGTAAAGCTGTCTGTCGTTCATTTTATGTTAAATCATATAACAACTATAAGACTGATTAGATGGAATAAAAGAAGATCTAAATGAGTTCAATTAGGCTCAAAGTTTTCTATGTTTTGCAATCTTTAATTTTTATATGGATACGGCCATTTCCATCACTATTTTCGTAAAGCTTTTCCCTCGCAATGGGTGTATATGAGAGTCAACGGTCATAAAAGAAGTACAGTGTATATGATTTGCAAATACAATAATAGTACATATATCAGGTCTCATTCTTTATTATTAATTAGTATTGAATTAGAATACAGAAAGCGATGCAGTAAATCAGCCAGTCAAAAACATATGCATACACCTGTACATACGAAAACATTATACATGTGGTTAATTTGATCTTAATCATGATCGTTATACACTCCAGTCCTTGCCTTTTATATATTTCAAAGGAAAAGATCGAAGCCTTATTGCTTTGTAGAGATGTATCGATAACAATAATAATATCCCAGGTTCCCAATAAGTGTATCAGCGAGGCTTTGTTCCCATCAGCATGAATACTGGCCATTTGACACGCATAACTTTGTGACCTGGAATGCTCTTGGCTTCTCTTGAAGACTCTTCATATATTTTCTTCAAGCTGCAAAATTTAAAAAAATACGGATTTTAAAACTTGATCACTGAAATTTTCAATAAAGCGCAACACTATGTATATTGAAATTCCCTTTCATCATTAAACTTATGTAAAAGCAAGTAATAATGCGAGAAAGTCGATATGGTCTATTCAAGTTATAAACGATATATATTGTATGATTATCTGTATTGTATATCTTCATTCTGTGAGACGTTTTGAACAGTTTTCTTTCCACAACCCGTCTTAACGGAACAGTAAAGCATCTGTTGGTACGAAGCAAAGATATAAGATATTAATAGAAAATTATACTTGGGATTATGAACCATCCAAGAATTCAAGCATTTTTTAGTAAAGGATAGATTATAACTTCATAAATGTAATATGAATCGATTAAGCGATGTTTGCGTGTAGTGTTTTGAGTAAATCCAATATCTAGGATATAAAAATGGCAGGGATATTAATGTTCCATTTATACATTCACGTGAAGGGCCCATATATAGAAATAAAAATGAGAAAGACATAGTGTTGATAATGTGTGTGTGTGTGTGTGTGTGTGTGTGTGAGAGAGAGAGAGAGAGAGAGAGAGAGAGAGAGAGAGAGAGAGAGAGAGAGAGAGAGAGAGAGAGAGAAAAAAAATCAGGGGTACTTCAGCTTAAGTTGATTGAGAACGTCAATGTCTGGGTTGTCCTTCAGATATTTTTGCAAGCCTGACCAAGAAGACAGATAGCCAACATACTCATCCACCGTCATTTCCTTGTAAATCACGTGACTATCATCTCTGCAAGGTATTAAGTTCATGTCAATAACAAATAACATTGAAAACAAGCATGTACAGTTATATTACACCAGTAGTTGACTAAAATTTTGAACTGCAGTGGAACGGTATGTAACATGCAAAATCTACTTAAATGACATTAACTGCTACTATAGTTATATAAATATCCCTGTAAAATCTGATACAAAAATGCAACAGGGATGTGTCATCTGCACATACGACGAAAGGCAACTTTTTCATTGAATAGCTGTTATGTGAAAGGTTTACTGTGTTTATCATATAGAAACCTTTCGTCTGTATTGTTCTCATTGGCTGGCAAATATAAACGGTTCAAACAAGTAGCCTAATGGAGAAAACTATTAAAAAGTTTCCATGCAAATAACATAACGGATACGCATTTTGAAACATTTATTAAATAACAAACAACAAAACATTTATAAGACTGTGATTTCCTTTCGTCTGTATGAGTATGCATGATTACGACCAAAAATAATGATTGTCGTACAGAAAAGAGAAGATTCTTTAATGTTGGGATACACAAAGAGAAATAACCTATGAAATAAAAAGGTCATCGGGTCAAATCAAGAAAACAACACTTGAAATTTCAATACACCAGACCAGTATGAATCACACGAATGCAAATAAGGCAATCAATCACTTTCTTTAGAAAGCCCTTCATCTGCTCCCTTGTTAATATAAAGGTTATCTAATTATAGGAATATCGGAGTGCAGATTCAGTGACAAAAAACGAACGCAAAATCACCTTTAATACGAAAGACATGTTACAGGATGACAAAAAAGAACAGCAAACAAACTTAACTAGCAGCAACATCAACTGCATGAGAACCATTTCCTACCTTTTCCATCCGGGAAATGGAAGGCTAAATCTGACATAATGATCATCCGTATGATGCACCTTGGGGTCCCAATATTCATTTAGAGTGACGTCGTAAAGCTTGAACAAAATGCGTAACATGTGACAATTACTTCATGACTATACGTAATATTCATTTAGAGTGACGTCGTAAGGCTTGAACAAAATGCGTAACATGTGACAATTACTTCATGACTATACGTAATATTCATTATCAGCATAGTTTCACTTAATAATTTGCTGACGCTGCAGGTGTCAATTTGAAAATTTTCTTATCGAATTTGCCATCTTTAGTATGCTCAGTTGCCAAACAATCTCAGTCTAGTTGAAAATCCGGATTACATGCTTTGCAAAATAGCAATTCTTCTATCTTAAAGACGTTTTGTTTAGTAATTGTTTGTAATTGTTTACGTATTTCATTCGCAAATAAACGTATAGCGGTTACTTAAGAAGCAGGTGAAAAATCGATGTCTAAGTTTTCACGAAAATCATGCTGCTGAACCAAACATCATTAGGATCATTACATATAATTTATGAAAGTTTCACGCGACCCAGTGAGGAAAAGAGATTACTGTGTGCATTCTAATAAACGGTGACTTGTTATAACATTTATCCATAGGTTACTTTAATGTTAATCATACGCTAATCTTTACCTGATTCTGCAATGCATCTGCTTCCTGAATATCAGGGATATTTTTACCATATCCATAGGCAACGAAAACGCCACCTGGTTTCAATTTCTTTTCGACTTCCGAGTAAAACTTATTTAGGTCCATCCAATGCAGAGCCTGAGCCACAGTTATCAAATCTACGGTATCATCTTCCAGAAAGCTCAAATCTTCTGATGGTCCAACTTGAAAAGACACGTTGCTGACATGTTTCGGTGCATACTTGATTTGCTCAGGGCTTACGTCTAATCCTATCACCTTCTTAAAATATTTTCCAAGTGGCAATGTGCTCTGTCCCGAACCACACCCAAAATCCACGGCAAGTTCAAGCTCTGCCTCCATTAATCCCGATGATTCGTAGCAATATTTTAATATTGCATCATATACAGATTCAGGATATGTTGGTCTGTATAACGCATATGCTTCTGTATGGCTGCTTTCTTCAAAATATCTATGTGCCATATTTCTTTTGGATGTGCGATAACTCCTTTCCGCCTAAAATGCAGTCTTAGCGGATGCCGATCCTGAGAGGAGATTTTAGAAACACTCTATTTGAAACTGTAAGAAACAGTAGTTTTCGTAAATTGAAGATGGTTACTTTGCAGTGGTTTTTTTTTTCTCACAAAAATCAATATAATGTGTTCTGTCAAAATCTGTTGATATTTGTAAATTTTCTAAACGAAAACCTTATTTAAATCTATAATTGGTACACACATACATACATATATATGTATGTATATATATATATATATATATATATATATATATATATATATATATATATATATATATATATATATAAGGGATAGAGGGAGATTTATAATTTATGTTTTGACGTTAGTGGTAGCTTCTAATTTTGAATGCATGTAGCATGTATTCGCATTTTCCCGTTTTTATGTGGTCTTGTTTCAAACCAGCAGTGGGAAGACCATGTTGGTCAATATAGCCTTCCATGCATTTAGATGCACCCAAGGGCAAGAAATGTACAAATTATGAGTAAGAAAAAGATTGTCACAGTGACACAATTATGCGTAATATTATTTTGTACTATAACTGAGACAATCTGTTATTCCCTAAACTACAATAACATTGCATCAAGCGATGTCGCAACACAAAAGCTCTACAGAAACAAACTGTGTTTATCTGTACAGCCATACCTTTCTTTTCTTTGACACAACATTCAAAGTCTTGAATTGTCATAAGTCTCTCATTATGAAGCAGAAGAAATATGTCATATTGTAATTAGGGCAAAAATAATTTTATAGGTTTAAGTATATTGTGAATATTTTTTTTACCTAATGTGCGGATTCGAGGCAGATTTGGCAATTTTGAGAATTTTTAGGAGTT